TGCACTGTACACTACAGCTGCTTAAAACACATTTCTGAGTTCTTTGATAAAGCAGATTCAATTTGTTGGTTGTTGTTGGTTTGTTGTTTTTCTTGTGAGTTCTCTGTTGGAACTTCCATTTTCTTCTTCCCTGGAACTGTTTCTGTTCAGAGGATACGGAAGTTGTTGATTATTTTTGTTGTGGCTGAACACAGCAAATGGTTTTCTTCACTGTTTTCTTTGAAGCAATAGAGGTCTTTAAAAGTTAAAGAGGTCTTTAAAAAAATGTGTTTGCAGAGCTGTTTCTGGGGAAACAGTTTGCAAGAGTTACAGGACAGAAGTGTCTGTCGGACCTCCTGAAATACTGTCATACTAATGTCCATGCTTATAAAAATGATGTGAAGTGCTGTTCTCACTGAGCTCACAGGCTGGGAAGCACACACTGTGTATTAACTCTGTTAGTGTTCGGCCAGGCCAAAATTTTAATTGTAAGGAGATGTTAAAGTGTGTTTATGGCTAAAAGTTGCAGTAAAGACACAAAGATCAGCTGTGAACCCTTGAGCAGATTTCTGTGCAGGACAGGGATCTGACTCAGCGATGGAAGGTGACGCAGAGGGAATGGCTTTATTTCTCAAATACGAGAAAAGGAATATTTCCTTATAGTGCAGTCTCGTTAAGCTTAAATTTTGCTTTTTTCTCAGGCTAAGGCTGACGCCCAGTGGCCGATTGAAATATCGCTATTTCCTGAAAACGATAGCTCATGCTGGCACTCACACGGAAAACGAACCAACTAATCTCGCCAGCCCGGCGCATACAGGAGCCCCAGTAGGTCTGCGCGGGATAAAGACGACAGGGCAGAATAAGAATAAGCCCTTCCTCATGGCAGGCCCCCCCCGCCACCTGTCCTGCCGGCCGAGTGTGCTCTGGAGTGCAGATACTGACCAGTTTGTTAGCAGATGAACCTTAGAAATCAATGGCGTGATGTGAAAGCTGACTCTTGGGTTTTGTGAGTTCACCACTGAGTGTGCTGCTGGTCACAGGAGCTAGAACCACAGAATCAACTAGGCTGTAGAAGACCTGTAAGATCAAGTCCAACTGTTACCCCAGCACTGCCAAGTGCACCACTAAGCCATGTCACAGAGGCCTTATCTACATGGTTTGTGAACACTTCCAGGGGCGGTGATTCCACCACTTCCCTGGACAGCCTGTTCCAATGCCTGGTCACCCTTTTGGTGAAGAAGTGTTTCCTAATAAGCAATCTAAACTTCCCCTGGTGCAACTTGAGGCCGCTACCTCTTCTGTCGCTTGTTACTTGCTCACAGGCAGAGCCTGCAATGCCTTGTGCTCCTGTCCTGTGTGCTCCTGCCCTTGGTGGTGTGTGGGGCAGGTACCCAGGGGAGGCCTGTATGGGTGCTGCAGAAGGGCCACCTGAAAGGCTGGGGACTGCCTGGAGCAGGCAGGGATCCCTGGGCATCCCTGTGACCCTGCCCTGTGCTGTGGCTCTGTGTTGCACAGCGCATGACAACAGGACCACAAATGATACTGAGGGTTTTATTAACAAGTATAAGACATATGCACTGTATACTAAATAGAGTATGAAGACTGTACAGTACAAATTATGTTCACAGTTCGACATGACAAAATGTCATTACTGAATTCCCATTGGACTACCAAAGTATTAACAGTGAAAGTATATTAAACATTCACATCTTTAGTAAGAAAAGACTACCAAAATGTCTCCGTATTTGCAAGTTATAGTAATGCACGCTAGAAACCTTTAATTACCCATTCAGTCTTATTAGCTTATAAAATATATTACACTTTATTTAAAAATTTCTGCATAGTTTATACAGGTATTAAAGTAAATACAACACCCCTGCTATAGCTGCAGGTGAGAGATGCTAAGCAGAAAGATTATTTTGACCCTTTAATATTAAAAGTACATTCTTTAAAAAGTGCTAATATCTGTAAAATATAATGAAAACTGGTGTAGCCCTCTTAAGATATGTAAAATGCTTTGCAATTTTTTTATAGAAAGGATTCGTATTCACTAAATGTTGCTAACCTTGACAGAGACAACAACATATTTGGACAAGATATGGCTTTACAAATATCACTGCAGAACAGTGGTGTATATTTAAATAGACCCACAAATATAAATACCTGCTTCACTTTTTGTGATTGTCTTAGAAACTTAGTAATTTATTGTAGTCAAATGGCTTAAACAGGCACATTTTAGTAAAGCAGTATTACCTGTTATACCCTGCAATACTGATAGGGGAAAAGGTGGGGTTTTTTAAATGTGCATGTTCTGCACGATTAGGGTTTTCTATCTTTGTATCTAAACTGGCTTCTCTCTAGGGCAAAGATGGAAGGACTGGCTTTAAAAAGTGTTTAGTTGTGTATATTTTAAAATTGCAAGATACCCCTCAAGTCACAGTTTGCTAAAATCAACCAATGAGCCAGTTAAGATGCAAATTCACATTTTCTGCAGAAAGATGAAAGCGTATTTGTGACTTCAACATCCCACAGAGACATCACAGACACGAGTGAAAAATCCTACAAGCAAGGCCATTACATGAAATAATCTCAAATATTTATATTTAATATTTAAATTTCTGTTGTCCTGAATCACAAGGCACATGGATAAAGACATTTTATAGTTCTATTGAATCGCTACTGTATTTGTCCCCACCATTAGCATAAATATTGTCAGGAAAAAGGTAGACAGGCTAATGAATGGATATGGCAAGTGACCTAGACTAAATTCTGCACAGTAACTCTCAGTTACAAAGAAGTTCTGCTTTAAGCTACTTGATTCTAGATTTCTAATTAAAAAAAAAAAAAAAAAAAAAAAAAAAAAAATAGGAAAAAATTTTTGTGAAAGCCTTAAAAGAGAAACAGAGCGTTGGAAAGAAATGTTCCTTTAAACATCTCAAATTATATGCATTTTCATTTGTTATGCTAAAAATGGGACCAGTTGCCATTAAGCTGCTTATCTTTTGTAGGATCTCGCCTGCTTTTCTCCCTAGAACGTAACAGAGAATTGTTTTCATCGCAGGATGCTCAATGTCTGTAGGCTTGGCCTGG